TGTTGCTGTGAACATGATCTCTTTGAAATTCTGCTTTCAATTTTCTGGGTATATGTGAAAAACAGTCTCTTTTAGTAAGTTTCCTTTCTACGGGGTTATTTTGAAAGAGGTAGAGAGTTTTCCCAGAGGTTCCCTTAATGTATTATTTTCTTGACAATGTACCACAGATATGTGGTGGCACTCACAAGTGGTCTGGGCATGTCAAGCCCTTAAGAGTTCCTGTTCAGAAGCTGCCCTGTTTCTTTCTTCAATGAAGACATAGTTAATATCCACCAGGCATCTCAATCCAGGAGACAAAGGGTGTTACCATAGGCATGTGTGTATCTGTCTATCTGAATACACAGGGGTGTTTTGTTTTGTTTTGTTTGTTTTTAAGTAGGCTCCATGCCCATCGTGGAGCCAAACATGGGGACTGAACTCATGACCCCGAGACCAAGACCTGAGCTGAGATCAAGAGTCGGAGGCTTCACCAACTGAGTCACCCAGATGGCCCTCAATATAGTTTTAATTTTATTTAAACGGCAAGCAAAGGTCTAAGAGCAGAAGTAGAAGAGCAACGGAGCACTGCCTAGACCTTCGTGAGCAGCCCCTGCTGATGCACCAGCCTCTAAGGTGGGGTGGCAGACCTGCAATCACCTTACCCCACAGCTGTCTGGCACTAACTCTGAAAATGGCTCCGGAAGCCTATCTGTGTGTGTGTTCTCAATTCATTTCATAAGGGATTTATTTATAAATTTGTTGATTTCACGGACTGCACCTTGCAAGATGCGCCCTGTCAATCTGAGCATTTTGTAATGTTCCCATGTAAGGGTACTTTCTATTCCTCTGTTTCTGTTTTCTACACCACCTGGCTCTGTATGGTGAAATGCCATTTACCTAGGATTCCCAGACCAAGCATTCTCTGGCTTTGCCCTCCCCCAGCCCGAGGATCTTACAGATCACTGATACTGTGGGGGAGGAGAGCCGGCTTACACTAGGGAGGCGGTGCCTTGGAAAGCCGGGTTCTACCCCCCTCTGCCCATTTGTTTGACAAAGAAGGCAAATCTCTTCGGTGAAAGCTCAGCACTCCGCCTGGACTGAGGCCATTTGAACTCAAATTCGAACGCAGGCAACGGAAAAACAGCCAGCCTTACCGAGGAACAAAAGCAAGTATTTCCGCACTGCCCTGCACTCACGGACTCAGAATTTTCCCTGCTCGTTCTAGTCTTTTGTTACCTGGGCCGGCTGCTCCCCCCGGAGCCCCACGACCTCGGAAGGACAGGGGCTCTGAGACTCACAGCCCGACAACCCTTGGACTAAAGAGCACCAGGGCAGCTCTGCTGGGAGCTGCTAGCTTCTCATCGGGGGAGGGGAAGGCCTGGGAGAGGAAAGGGGGAGGACAGTGGCATGGAAACAGAGAGAGTGACAAAGCTGAGAAAGCAGAGGTCTCGGTGGGGCCCAGGAAGCCCGTGCACCATCTCCTTCGCCACAGTCACACTATGGGGCTGCGACCCCTTCCTCTGGGCATTCGACTCCTTTACGTCGGTGTTAGGATTGGTAGTTTTATTTAATATTTCTAGCTGGAGAGTATTGAGAAGAGTGAAAAAAGGAAATAATGATGGATTGGCAGTCTCTTTCAATTCCTCTTCATTCATTGGCCAAGTGTCGGTTGCCTAGGAAACCGCTTGCAGCTTGAGGCGGAGTAGGCTGTCAGGCTACCCGGACTTGGGCTGTGTATCGAGTGGTGAATGCAGGCAGGCAGTAGGGAAATCCGAAAGCTAGATGTCTTGTAATTTCAGTAAGTGTGTTAAAAAAAAAAAAAAAAAAAAAATCTTGCTTTAAGAAAATAATGCTTTAAAAATTTACTACCAAATCAGCAGTACAATGCTCCTTATCAGACTTCAATTAATTAAAACAATGACTCTGTGTGTAATCATAGAGAAATGCAAAATCACTTGAGAATTTGCCATTGAAAATACTCTGAATATTGTGAGAGCAAATACAACTTTAATAGCTTCAGGGGTATCTCACTCACCTCAGCCACCTAATCTGTTATGCATAGAATAAATGTTGGATTTTATTTTACACTGCGTTGTTTCTACAACTGTCTGGGAAAGGGAAATTTTAGGAATATTGGTACATCATTAAAGCTAATAGCCTGTAAGTGATGGTGAAATATATTGTCCTGACACCTTTCACATCTGGTATACAGTGACCGAGGTGGAGAAGAACTGTGTATAATTCACAAAAAGAAATGCTGGAGGACCCAACTGAGGCCGGATCTATTTATGCTTTGGAGGCCCTTACCAGCCTCCCCTCAGGAGCTGTACGGAATACAGATGATAAGGATTAACAGATAAACGGAAAGATCGGGGAAAGATTTGGCTGTCATCAACGTTCAGCTTTCCGACCCCAAATCAGCTTCTTGCGAAAATAAAAATGTGTAGCAGCATAATTCCAAATTGGGAAGGGGGGCAATGGAGAGGCCTAAAGCCCTTAACAAGAGTGCCGGCTCCGCAGAGACTGGGGTGGGCGACAGTACCCGCAGATGTATGAAAGGGAGGGTATCCGGGTTTTCAGAAGAGTGAGTTCCAGCCTCACCCCATCCCAAGCATTCTCCCCTAAAATAAACCCGAGAGGAAAGGGCCCTTTTATCCACCTAATCTCGCACTCGCGTTCTCAGCCGACACTCCGTGGCAATCTGGCTCTGAAACCGAAGCTGAGAAAATAAACCATTAGGTGAGGGAGGCTGGCGGCCGGCTCAAATTTCCCGGCCTGGAGCAGATCCCCTGGAGCGCAGCGCGCCAGGGTTGCCCCTTGGCCCTGGCAGCCAGGCGCTCATTGCTGGGCGCGCGTCTACACAGAGCGCGGGTGCAGCCCCAGCGGGGGCCTTCCCGCACGGCTCGCCCCCCCCCCCCCCCGCAGCCGCCGTCCCCAGGTCCGGGTGCTGACACCAGCCACAGCTCTTTCGGCCTGAACGTGGTCACCCTCCCCGAGGGCCGGGGTGCCTGGAAGACGGGATTCCAGCCTGAGCCCCGTTCTTAACTTGCCGTGGGACCTTGGGAATCGTTCACCCTCTACGTTTCTGCGTCTGTAGGGGCTGGATTAGAAACTCGGGGTCCTGGGTCCTTGGAACCCTCAAGTGGGGCCTGTGGGCGGACCTTCTGCTCCTCTGCCTCTCGCCCGACCCCATCCCAACCCCACGAAGGGGAGCCGCGTCCGGGGAATTCTGCCCGGAAGGTTCAGTCTGGACGTCATGGGTGTTTGGGGGAGGCTGGGCTTTTGTTCTCTGGGTTTCTCTTTGTGCACTGGAATTGAGTTGAAAGCCCCCCTTTCACCTCCCAGCGGGAAAGAAAGGCGGTGACAGCTTGCTGATAGTTCTGGGAGGGTCTCACTCAACAGCTGCAGGCTCCGCTCCCCCACGGGAACCCGGGTCATTCGGCCCCTCTCGCCGGAGGATGAAAAGGGGTCACGTCACCTCGCAGAAGACCCGTCCCGAGTCGAGAGGGGGAAGGGCGCTTCGCCCACGGAATTGCAGGGGCCAGGTTCCAGGTCGGCAGTGAACATTTCAGCCACCCTTTCCGCTCCCACCCTTGAGCGCAAGCAGGTTGAGCACCCTCTCCCCATCCCCCCTCACACACAGACACACGAAGAGTAACAAAGAGATCATCTCCTCCGACCACCTAGAAACTGTGGATTTGAAAGTGTCAGTGCTCCGAGTCTGCGCACGCGCTCTGTGCGCGTCAGGGTCTCGGGTGGCTGCTGCCTCGCTCTGCCGCAGTTTTTAGGCGTGTCCCTCACCCCCATCAGCAGCACGAAGGTCGGGGACCTCGTGGCCGCCGCTGGGTCTGGCACCTGATGAAAGAGAAGAGTGTTAGCGGTGTGGTGGGCCATGATCACCCGCGGAACCCATTTCCGTCCTGGACAATAGATGAACCCAACCCAGAGAGGGAGAGCGCCGGGGGTGTGATTTTTAAAACTCAGCCGTGGGAGGTATCCCACACATTTGTGAGCCCTTTGTTCTGCCGCAGCCCCGCCCCCCGGACCCCACCCTCGTTCTGACCGCTGGACAGTACCCGTGCGCGGACAGCCACACCCACCCCACCCACTCCGGAGGAACAAAAAGCCAGCCCGCGAGGTGGAGGGGTCTTTGGTACCAGCCAGGGAGCTGGGGACTCTTGGAGAGAGTCGGATGGGCTGGAGGGGGCGCGGAGGCTGCCCCACCCCTGGATGCAGCAACCGCAGTAGAGGGAGCAAGGAGCCCTTGACAGAGACAAAAGAGAGCAGGCGGATGCTGGGGGCAGGGCGCAGGGCCCCCTGGGGCTCCTGGGCTTTGGGGTCCGGGGTCACGGCTCTTCAGACCCCACAGCCTGATCACACACGATTTTCTCCTGGGCTCGCCTGTCCTCCCAAGGCTCTGTGTGACCAGGGTTCGGCGGCTGGACAGTCGCTGGCTTCTAGGGTTGGGGAAAGAGGCAGTGGTCTCACGAGGGACGGGTAGCTTAGGGATCTCAGGCCGTTGGGCGAGGAGACGCCTCAATCAGCGCTGGCAGTGCGACCTACACCCCCCTCTACCCTTCCACCTGCCAGCACCCCGGCACAGCGCACAGAGGGCCTCTCCACCTGCTCCAGTCTCCCTGCTCCCCCCATCCAGTACCAGCTCTCCCCCCACCACCGGCCTGCCCCAGGGGTCGCCCTCGCTTCGCCACCCTCCCACCCTCAGCTCCTTCACCTACCCCCAATTCTCAGTTCCCAGCTCTTCCACCTCCCCCGCCCCAAGTCCTAGACAATGCCCACGCCTCCACCCTACTACCCCAAACCCCCACTCCTCGCCCGGTCCGCAAGCCTGTGCTGATTGGCTGCGGGCCCAATGTCCAGCCCCCAGGATGGTCCTTGGGGCTCGGAGCATTACGTCAGCGGGGCCTGGAGAGCTCTAGCTCGAAGGGGACTGGGGCACTCGGGCTGGGGGCGCGGCCTACGCGGGTCGCCCCACCCTCCTTGCATAAAAGGCTGAGTCCGCTGGGCCGGCGCTCTCAGACAGTCGGTTCCGGATCGCATTGCCCGTGACCCCGCGGTGGGTGTTTAAGGGAGGACGGACAGACTGACCAGACGCCGACCAGGGCCAGAAGAAGCTACCTAGCACCATGCGTGAGATCGTGCACATCCAGGCCGGCCAGTGCGGCAACCAGATCGGCGCCAAGGTGGGCGCTCCGGGAGGGGCGGGGTCCGGGGGGGGGGGCGCCCTGGCCTGTAGCCCCTCGGAGTTGCTCGGCTCGAGCCTCGACCTGAGCAGGGCCGGGGCTCCCCAAGCACAGACCTTCCCGGCAGCTTTGTGCGGCCTTGTAGGGCGTGGGCTCGGGGACGACTTGGAGGTGGGGAGGAAGTTCGCTTTCATTTTTGCTGTAACTCAATTGGAATCCCGGCCACTCCTTGTTCCCCGCTTTCTCCCTGCTCCTCACTTGGCCAGACAAGCTTGCCTGGAGAAGGCGCGGGTGTGTCCCCGAGGCTGTGCGCGCGGGTTTACGGGAGGGGCCGGGACACGGGGAGAAGTGGTTTTACCCGCTAGAACCCCAGTCGAGCTGTGGGGGAGGGGAGGAGAGCGATTGTCTTGAGGTCTCTGGACGTGCTTTGAATCTCAAACCACCCTCCTTCCGTTCCTCCGGTCCCTGCTCCCAGCCCACCCCCTCCGCGCCGCTGGGAGTCCCTGCGCGCCCGCCGCTGCGACTCTGAGCCGCGGCCGCGCGAGCCCGCAGCTTTTGCAGCTCCAACCCCCTCCCACCCCCCACCCCGCCCCGCCACCCGAAGAGACCCCCGCCTCGGGCCGCCCGCAGCTGTTCGCCGGGGAAACGCCCAATTTCAACTTTCTGACCCTGCACAATACAAGTCTTGCGGCGGAGCCGGGTCAGCTGCCTGAAAGTTCGGGTTTTGGGAACTGAGTCGAGGGGTTTTCATTGTGAGACTCGGTCTCTCTTTGAGGGGTCGGGCATGGCTAAATGCAAACTTTTTCTGTGTCTTAGTTTTGGGAGGTCATCAGTGATGAGCATGGGATCGACCCCACTGGCAGTTACCATGGAGACAGTGATTTGCAGCTGGAGAGAATCAACGTGTACTACAATGAAGCCACTGGTAATTGCCTTACCATTCCCCCCCCCCCCTTCAATTTTTAACTCTCCTGTCCCCAGGACTAACTCCAGGAGTGTGGCCCCAGGGGAGAGTGGACTAGCGGATTTAGAATTCCCACTCTTTCACTGCAAGATTTCAGCGGGTGGTTCACAACCAAAGCCTTTGAGAATCTGATCGGTTCTGTGTCCTTCTTTGTTTGGGGACAACAGTAGTGCCTGCAAAAGGGGCGGAGGGGAGCCTCTCTCTTTAGAGCTCTCTGCCTGCACATCTAAGTCCAGCTGTGTTCCCTGCAGGTAACAAATACGTACCTCGGGCCATCCTGGTGGACCTGGAGCCGGGCACCATGGACTCGGTCAGGTCTGGACCATTCGGCCAGATTTTCAGGCCCGACAACTTCGTTTTTGGTGAGTAACTGACATGGCTGATGGCAGGGGAGGCTCATTTGACAGTGTACAGCTTGGGGTGGAGGGGTATGACCACGTAAGGGAAAGTACTGAATGAAGAACATCCCGTTGTGTGCCCATTCAGTCTTAACATAAGCTAAAACAAATTTGCCTTTCAACCTTTAATAGCCAGGTATTCCTAGCCTTCCTTGTTTATAGTTATATCCATAACCAAATATTTTAATGTCTGGCCATTTGGGTGGTAATCTGAGATAATCTTATCTGAACACTGACTTATTGATCTATATTAAGGGGTTTAGGGTAAAAAGAATTTAATCCAGTCATCAGTGCCTTATGAAGTCTCTCCTTCTGGCAGGCCAGAGTGGCGCGGGCAACAACTGGGCGAAGGGCCACTACACAGAGGGAGCCGAGCTCGTGGACTCGGTCCTGGACGTGGTGAGGAAGGAGTCGGAAAGCTGTGACTGTCTGCAGGGCTTCCAGCTGACCCACTCGCTGGGGGGCGGCACGGGGTCCGGGATGGGCACGCTGCTCATCAGCAAGATCCGGGAGGAGTACCCAGACCGCATCATGAACACCTTCAGCGTCATGCCCTCGCCCAAGGTGTCCGACACGGTGGTCGAGCCCTACAACGCCACCCTGTCGGTGCACCAGCTGGTGGAGAACACCGATGAAACCTACTGCATCGACAACGAGGCCCTGTACGACATCTGCTTCCGCACCCTGAAACTGACCACCCCCACGTACGGAGACCTCAACCACCTGGTGTCGGCCACCATGAGCGGCGTCACCACCTGCCTGCGCTTCCCCGGCCAGCTGAACGCCGACCTGCGCAAGCTGGCCGTGAACATGGTGCCCTTCCCGCGCCTGCACTTCTTCATGCCCGGCTTCGCGCCGCTCACCAGCCGCGGCAGCCAGCAGTATCGGGCCCTCACGGTGCCCGAGCTCACGCAGCAGATGTTCGACTCCAAGAACATGATGGCCGCCTGCGACCCGCGCCACGGCCGCTACCTGACCGTGGCCGCCATCTTCCGCGGCCGCATGTCCATGAAGGAGGTGGACGAGCAGATGCTCAACGTGCAGAACAAGAACAGCAGCTACTTCGTCGAGTGGATCCCCAACAACGTCAAGACGGCCGTGTGCGACATCCCGCCGCGCGGCCTCAAGATGTCGGCCACCTTCATCGGCAACAGCACGGCCATCCAGGAGCTGTTCAAGCGCATCTCGGAGCAGTTCACGGCCATGTTCCGGCGCAAGGCCTTCCTCCACTGGTACACGGGCGAGGGCATGGATGAGATGGAGTTCACCGAGGCCGAGAGCAACATGAACGACCTGGTGTCCGAGTACCAGCAGTACCAGGACGCCACGGCCGACGAACAGGGGGAGTTCGAGGAGGAGGAGGGCGAGGATGAGGCTTAAAGTCACAATGAAAGCAGGTTAGGGAAAGTCGAGGAGAAGGAAAGCACGGGGGAGGGGGGCTTAGTGGTGAAAATCTCTTGGCAGTTGAAGGAAAGAAGCATGGTCTTCTCTAGGTGTGTGCGCTGGGTCTCTGGTGCTCTTCACTGTTGCCTGTCCTTTGGGGTTTTTTTTTCTTTTTGTATTATTGATGACATCAGTGTAACATTTGAGCTATTTCCGAGCTACTGTTGTAATGGCTAAAATCACATAAACGTTTGTGTCCTAACGGTGTCTTCTCTTCTGTCTCCTTCTCTTTATTGGCTTCTTTATAATGGTTTTGCCTGTTAACTTTCAGAACACGTCATATTAAATTCTTCCTCTAGAAAAGAGAAGGGAGAGGTAAAAGTTCAAACGAATTTACTCTGTCCGTGTGGTAAAACTGAGCCAACCACAGTCATACCCAATATAAGATGGGACATCAATGCGAATTTGTAAATGCCCTTAAATATTTTATTAGTTGAAAGGATGCCTCCTTGAAAGCAGACTAAGTGTAATTTCATGTAGAAATCCTATGTCTTTACTTCTTTACAAAAAAAAAATTTTTTTTTTTAATAGTTACTACCTGCATGCAGCACACGTTCTAAAGGATAGAGAGTGGAAAGGAAGTCTCTTCCTCCTGTGTTCCTTGCTACAGTTTTCCTCCCTGGAGGGCAACCATTCTTAGCACTGTTATCTCTCCAGCATCCTTGAAGAAATATTCCATATATCTTCAAACAGATGTAGATTATTCCCTTTTTTTCTTTCTTCACACATCTTATGATGATAGTAACACTGTTCTGCTGCCTCTTTTCTTCACTGAACAGTATGTTTAAAATACAGAGCTTCCCTCCTTGAAATGGATACACAGTATCCATTATGTAATCCTGCCATACTTTATTTCATTGGTTCCCTACGATGGCCATGTAGGTCCTTTATGCTTTTTTCTCATGGTGCCACAATGAGTAATTTTGTGCATATATCATTGTGTATATGAGAACAGCTATCTTGCAAATGTCTCTGTGGAGATTTTCTGCCAAATTGTGCCATGTTCTGCCTTAGATTGGGCCAGTCAGTTTCTCATTTGGGGAACAGAAGTGGAGTGTTAAGTTATAAACAAATGTATAACATTTATTTATATACCCCTATAGGAAGAAAAAAAATAAAACTGGAGGCTTATGATTTTTCCTATTTTTAGACAAATGCAAAATTAGGAAAAATATTACTTTAAATTTGACCCTGTATTTATTTCATTCTAGTTGGTTCTACTACATAAATGTTTTTTTTTTTAAAAGAGAGGAGGAGAAAAGATGAGGGGTGGATAAGGGATTTCCACATTAAAGAGGCTGAAGTATATATGAAGATGGTTCCAAGGAAAAGTGTGAACATTATCTAAATAGTGTGAAAATGGCCTCCAAAATGGAAAAGAGTAGCAATTTGCAAGTATTATATATTATAAAACCTAGACCTAGTGATGAGTAAGGACAAATGGATCAGAGTCAGTGATTTCTTCAGTTTTCTATATTTAACAGTGAATTGGCTGGTGCCATTCCTGCTGAGCTGGTGTAAAGCTTCCAACAACTTAATTGAAGGGTAACATTGGTTTTAAATGCCCTGAACACTGGGTCAGCTGCCAGGGCCCCCTGGATCCTTGGCCATGCATTCCCCACAACCTGTCAGATACATGATCGGTAACTTTGGAGAAGACAGGGATTGCTGCCGGGTGCTTCTTGGCATACCGTAAGTATCCTGCTTCTCTTTCCCACCTTGTGAGAAGGGGACAGGCAGGCACCCAGCAGGCCAGCCTGCTAGCCTGTCAGCATATCCCGTCTGCACACTGCTAGAGCTTACTTCAGCATGATTAGAACAGTGGGTGCCAGACGGACCAGTCAAGCAGATGCTCTGGGGCAAAACTTTAAGAGCACCGTTGTACAAGACAACTTGAAATGCATACTTTTTTTTTTTTTAAGATTTTTTATTTATTTATTTGACAGAGAGATAGAGAGAGCACAAGTAGGCAGAGAGGCAGGCAGAGGGAGAGGGAGAGGCAGGCTTCCCGCGGAGCAGGGAGCCCGATGCGGGGCTCGATCCCAGGACCCCGGGATCATGACCCGAGCCGAAGGCAGCCGCTTAACCAACTGAGCCACCCAGGTGCCCCTTGAAATGCATATTTAAGAAAACAGTTCAAAAGCAAGAAAATGCAGACCAACACTTGGATTAAAAGATACTTTTGGGGGCACCTGGGTGGCTCAGTCGTTAACGTCTGCCTTCGGCTCAGGTCACAATCCCAGGGTCCTGGGATCGAGCCCCGCATCGGGCTCCCTGCTCAGCAGGAAGCCTGCTTCTCCCTCTCCCACTCCCCCTGCTTGCGTTCCCTCTCTCGCTGTGTCTCTCTCTGTCAAATAAATAAAAATAAATAAATAAATAAAATCTTAAAAAAAAAGATACTTTTGGAAACTCTCAGTTTCCTGTTACATCACCACTGTGTGATGGGATTTGGAGTGGTGGTGATGGTCGTGGTGGTGGTGGGGATGGTGGGGTGTGTGTGTGTGTGTGTGTGTTCAACACTCTGCAAAGGAAATGTTCTGTCACTCCTTGATGTACCACCAGGAGGATATTCACTTCGAGGCAGACACTGTATCCATATTACCACAGCTACTGGGATGTGATGCAGGATTCAAAGGTTGGGGTGAGGGAGGAGCAGCTAGAGTTATCTTGAGGTTCTCCCAAGAGTCTAGAAGGAACAGGAACCTCATATGTTCCAAATTTGCCTGGACCCTTAACCCAGCCCCAGAGATGATCTTAGACTATGGCAGGTTTCCCATTTCATCACAAGGATGCTAGATTAATAGAAATTTGAACCAAAAGTAACCTTAAGAGATCATCTAGTTTGACCTCCTTATTTTGTAAGGAAAGAGATGGAGGCTCAGAGACTTGTCTAAGACCACTGAACTTTTTCTGTACAAATCAGATCTTGGACTTAGTGTTCTTTTCTCTATAGCTGCATCTCTCAAGTCCTGTTATGCACAAGGCCACATGAAGAAGGGAAAGAGAAATTTCCTGGCTTCCAGAAAAAAACCAAAGCTGTCCCTTGGTCTGTAGCTCAACCTCCCTGGATGGGTGGGGCACAGATAAAGTGCTGAAGGGCTTTTGTCTCTAGTGGGGTCACTGTTTGACAGATGATGCTGAATTTCCTGGTCCTGAAACACCACATATACAATGTCCTAATGTAATCATGATTGCAAGAATATTCTATCAGGGCATAGTTATTGTGAAAGTGAGTAGGAAGTTAATGAGTAGGAAATAGCACTTTGGAGTGCCACTTTTACACACCCCCATTTTAGTTAAGATGTGACATATACTAGACAAAGCTATTTGACATCTACTATAATGCTGATTTCTTCCCATTGTTTAAGAGATATTCTGTTGACATCTACTATAATGCTGATTTCTTCCCACTGTTTAAGAGATATTAAGCATGTGTAGTACCTCAAAGTTGAGCTATTTACTTGAAAACTGATTCACTAATACCCTTGTTTCTTAGAGGCTTTCTCCCTATCCATCCTATTCCTCCAACCTATTTGGTTTTGTTTGGTCTGGTTTTAAGAGAGAGAGAGAGAGAGAGAGCACATGTTGGGGTGGAGGAAGGGCAGAGGGAGAGGCAGAGAGAATCCCACTCATACTCCCCACTGAGTGCGAATCCCAATATGAGGCTCCATCTCACGATCCTAAGATCATAACCTGAGCTGAAACCAAGAGTCAGACACTTAGCTGACTGAACCACCCAGGCGCCCTTTTCCTCATGTTTTTCTTTCTTTCTTTCTTTTTTTAAGATTTTATTTATTTGACAGAGAGAGAGAGAGAGCGAGAGCAGGAACACAAGCAGGGGGAGTGGGAGAGGGAGAAGCAGGCTCCCTGCTGAGCAAGGAGACCGATGTGGGGCTCGATCCCAAGATCCTGGGATCATGACCTGAGCGGAAGGCAGACTCTTAACGACTGAGCCACCCAGGTGCCCCTCCTCATGTTTTTCTTAAGGCATGCTTGCCAACACATACCCAAATAGGATGCAGTCTATTTCACTCAAAATGTTTCGTAATTCTATTTTCTTTTCCTTTAACTGCGATAGAATTGACATGCCATAAATTTCACTATGCAAAAGAGTACAAGTGAGTGCGTGTTAGTATATTCACGGAGTTGTGCAACTATTACCACTATGTAATGGCAGAATCATCACCCAAAACACAAACCCATACCCACTGGCAGTCCCTCCCTAACCCCTCTCCCTCCAACCCCTGCACAACCACTAATCTTTCTGTCAATATGGATTTGCCCGTTTTGGACATTTCATATAAATGGAATCACACAGGACATGTGGTTTTTTGTGTCTGGCTTTTTTTTACTTAGCATAATGTTTCCAAGGGTCATCTGTGTTGTAGCATGTTTCAGAACCTCATTCCTGTTTATGGATGAATACTATTCCATTGTATGGATATGCCACATTTTGTTTATCTATTCATCAATTGGTGGACACTTAGGTTGTTTCCACTTTTTAGCTATTAAGAATAATGCTGCTATGAACACTCATGTACAAGTTTGTGTGTGTGTGTGTGTATTTTCATTTCTCCTGGGTATATATCTAGGAGTGGAATTGCTGGGTCACGTGGTGGTAACTCTATGTTCATAATCATTTTGACTTCCACCTAAGGAGGTAAATGCTTTCGAATTTGCCTGGAAGGCCAAGATAGGATAGAGGTCAGGCCAGCCCTGGCTTTTGTACTTGGGCACCCATATAGAGTCTTAAAATTGCAGTTATAGAAATGGAGGGGACCGTAGGGATCTAACATGACTCCATCAGTTTGCAAATGAGGAAATGAAGCCTCATTGCTTAATTAGCAATGTTCCCAGGTCACTGTATCAGTTAGGGCTGATACTTGGCTTCTAGCAGCAGTGACTTTGAATTATTTTTTTTCCTCTCCCTTAAAAAAGTCTAGAGACACACAAGTCTAGGCCTTGTGGCTCCACAATATCCTCTTTCTGTTCTACTGATCATTGTCACTGGCTTTCAACCTCATGTTCTCCTCAGGCCACAGAAGGCCATTGCAGCTTTGGTCATGATACCTGGGTTCTAAGCAAGGAAGAGGGGAAGAAGAAGGGTAAAAATGTACCTTCCAGCTGAGTAAGCCACTTTAAAGATCATGGCAGGAGTCCCCCCAGTGACTTCTACTTGTACTTCCTTTCCTGCAGGAAAGG